AAAAAAAAAAAAAAAGAAATAACTCAGTTTTACTCATCTTTTTAAAATTCTGAGAAAAGGTCCACTGCAAGCACCAACTCTTTAATTCATAAATGGGAGTCTATAAACACAGTTAAAACTTTGGCAAAACAGGTATAATTTGTCTATAAAATAATCATAGAATCCCCTCTTCTTCAGTAGCTACATGTAGCAAGCAGAACATTTAGAAAATTTTAATGACATGTATATGTCTATCTGTCTGTCTGTCTTTCTTTCTTTCTTTCTTTCTTTCTTTCTTTCTTTCTTTCTATATAGTTCAAACTGGCCTTGAACTCACCATGGTAGCCAGGTGAGGTGATTCTCCTGTCTCAGCCTCCCAAATGCTGGGATTACAGATGAACATCATCACACCCAGCCCAGTCATTTTTAATGTGAAAAGAATGAAAACCATTAAAGAAAACTGATACCAGCAAAAATATCTGCCAACACATGCTGCAACAAATGAAACATCTGGGAAGTGACCTCTTCTGGATGTAGCCTCTTTGGGATTAATATTTCCAGAGTTCAGTGCTTTTACTAACAAAAACAGAAGTAACTTAGAACTATAAATTTATGCATTACCAACCTGTCTACCATATTACCACAAACAGCATTCCACACCACCCTGACCACAGCTCTGGGACTGAGCTGCTGTGGTTTCACCAACCAGTTCTGTGTAGCCTGACAGATCAACTACCATATACCATACACTCAAATCTTCTTGGGAAGCGAAAATGAAACATGCTCATAATAATAAAAAAAAATTACAAGAAGGCAGACACAGTGGTACACATTTGTAATCCCAGCTACTCCAGAGGCTGAAGTAGGAGGAAGGTTCAAGGCTAGCCTAAGTAACTTAATGAGACTCTAGCTCTCAAAAAATAATAAGGGTGCTGGAGATGTAGCTCAGTGGTAGAATACTTACCCACCATTGTGAGGCCTTGGCTTTAGTGCCACAAAAAATTAATCAGTGAATATGGGTTGGGGATGTAACTCTGTGATACAGCAACCCTGCCTGGGGAGGATCACAATCATAGGGCAGGATTTACAAAGAAAAAAAATCGATCTTATAGAAATAAGTATCATTTAGAGTAGACACTTTAATCTCTTTAGTGCAACTGTAATGGAAAAGATTATTCCTTTCTTTTTGTAAGTATCTTACAAAAAAATTCTGTTGTTTGGATAGCCTTGTATTTATTATTTATTTATTTTTGAGACAGGGTCTCACTATACAGTTCAGGCTAGCCTCAAACTCACAGTGATATTAGAGCTCTAAAAACATGTTTAACTGTGCTTTAAATTTAAAAGCTGCTTGTCTTTGCCACTCTAGGAAAACTAATTAATGATTTTTGCAATTTAAGTAAAATATAATGGTGAAATCATTAGACTTAATTGTGCTAGGAAGAAGATGAGACATTACATAGCATTTTTATATTACAACCTTAAAAGTCAAATGCTTTCATAAATTTTATTTAACGCTTGCAACAACTGTAACCCAAATATACAAAGACATAGGCTTAGAGATTTATAACACGTGCCCACAGTCACCTAGCTAGGAAATAATGGAAACTGAACTAAAACCAGGTCCCTTCTGGAGAATGTTTCTGGTCTAATGTAAGACTAAGCATTGTACATCCAAGAAGGTACAGGAGAAGAGTCACTAGAGAGTCTGAGAAAACCTCTTTGTTCAAGTTAACCAACGGGAAGAAGGTAACTTTTTTTCTTTTCAAAATGACATAAAATAGGAAAAACCCTAATATATTTTTCTAGAAACAAAACAGGTACAAGAATATATGGATATTTGAAAAAGATGCCCAAGAAAGTTTGTAAAATGCCCAGAAAAAATATTGGCTCACCTGATAGAATACTAATTAGTGGGGTGTGGTGTGGGGATGTTTGAAACAGGAGCTCGCTAGGTGTTTGAGGCTGGTTTAGAACTCACTGGGTAAGGCAGGCTGGCATCGAACTCGCAGCAATACTTCTGCCTCAGTCCCCATGTCACGGGATAGCAGGTTTTTTGTTTTTTTTTTAAATTTTTTTTAACATTTATTTTGTGTGTGTGTGTGTGTGTGTGTGTGTGTGTGTGTGTGTGTGGCCAGCTCAGCCCACCAGGGGGCGCGGCTGGCTGGCATGTGGTGCTGGGGGATTGAACCGTGGTTCCTGTGCTTTGCCAAGCTTGTTCCAAGTAGGTGCTTTAGACCACTGAGCCATCTCTCCAGCCCAAGGGATAGCAGGTTTGTACAACCACACTCAGCATTTTCATCAAGACTATGTTAGAATACACAACAATATGGAATATTCCTCATTATTAAGAAAAGTAGGAATCGGGCCTGGTGGCGCACGCCTGGAAACCCAGCACTTAGGAGGTTGAGCCAGGATGATCTCTGCGAGTTCGAGACCAGCCTGGGAGCTACAAAAGTGAGCGGAAGGAAGGAAGGAAGGAAGGAAGGAAGGAAGGAAGGAAGGAAGGGAGGGAGGGAGGCAGGGAGGGAGGGAGGGACAAACTCCTAATAAACGACGGGGCGGCTTCTCAGGCGGGCAATTAACTCTCCTCCACCTGGAGAGTGACCCTCCCCGGGAAATCTGGAGCACCCGGACCTTAATTTCAGTCAAATGGTGAGTTCCATAAACCGAAGCCGACAACTTAAAGACGAACTGCGGTTGGGGAAAAAAATCTGGCTGCACTCGTCGGCAGTTACACAGCACCGCCGCAGGATCCCAAACCGCGGAGAGACGCCGCTCCGGGGGAGCCAATCGGCCCGCTCTCCAGCGCCCCCTGCGGCCAAGCGGGGAGAGGGCTACGGGGATACACGCAGCACCGCTCCGGCACACGGTTCTCGGCGCAAACTTTTGTCTATTTTTATTGTCTCTTTCTCAGCCCCTGCTACCTGTAAGAGTGGGCTTCCGGTGTTAGGGTCTTGTGAGAAACAGCTTGGCTAAGCCGTCCTCCTGCCAGGCAGCCTACGGCACAACGGCGCCCAAATGGAGTAGCCCTTTTAACTGCGGTCTCCAGCGCCACGGTGGCGTTGCTGTTTTAAGGCCGGCGCTAGCCGCGGTTCCGGGGGCGGGGCTGGCTCCTCCGGCGGCTGGAGCTCCAAGCGTAGACGTCGGCTCGGGCGCAGGCCGGGCCTCGCTCCTGATTGGCTGGCCCCCGAGCCGCCCGCCCCCGCGCGCCGCCCCTGGAGTGCCTCCCGGGTCCGCGACCGAGCGCTGCCTTCCACCTTCCTGACCCCTAGCCCTTCCTTCCCTCCTTCCCCCCAGCCTTCCGCTGTCGTTTAAGGCACCGCCGCTCCCGGAGGAGCTCCCGGCACCGTGATGGGGTCTCGGGCCTCCACGTTACTGCGGGACGAAGAGCTCGAGGAGATCAAGAAAGAGACTGGGTGTAAGTTGGGCTTGGCGGCTGGGGACGCGGCCCGGCGCCTTCGGCCGGCCTCGGGGCCGAGCGCAGTTTATCGCCGCGGTCTGGACTCGGGGTGCCTTAACGTTGAGGGGTCTTGGGCAGCCTCCAGCGCCGGGGACCAAGGGCCGCAGAACCCGTCCGTCCAGCTGTAGCTCGCGGGAGCGGGGCTGCGGCTTTTGTGGGGCTGTCCTTCCCCTCAAAGTTGGAACCTCGATCCATTAACCTGTCCGTGAAAGTCTCCCAGCTCCCTCCCTTTATCTTCCGTCCAACTAACCTTCCTTATGAAGAGACATCCTGACCCGTAGGTAAAGCCTGAGTAACAGATTCAGGAACTCTGAATGGGTCTTGTGGAAAACATAATCGGTTTCTTTGACATTTCTAGACAAGGACCTAAAACCACTGATGACTGTAGGGAATTCACAGATTTTTGTCATAAACTGGAAGAATAAATTCAGAAAGCAAGGTCGTAAGGTAGGGCTTTGAAAGACATCCGATGACTGCAGAGCTTTCAACAATCAGAGCTGAGAAAAAAAAAAAAAAAAAAAAAACAGGGTACTGTGACCAACATGAAGTGAACTTGCTGTCATAATTTCTCGTATTGATTTCTATGGTCCTACTGCAATAAAGCAGTCGCTATTGAAATTGGATGTACTCCAGAAAGCTGAAGGAGAATTTGTACTAGGAACTGAATTTTTGGAGTCTAATCTCATTCTCCCTAACCTGAACAAAGGAGCAACAGGGTGTTAAGAATTGAGAAGCTAAAAAAAAAAATTGAGAAGCTCTGTGAAACTGTGAAAAAAAAAATCTTTTTTTTTTTTTTTTTTTGTCTTTTGAAAACAGGGTCTCACTCTGCAGTTCAGGCTGGCCTTGAACTCACTTTGTAGCCCAGGCTAGTCTCAAGAACTTGCAACAGTCCTCCTGCCTCAGCCTCCTGAGTGTGTGTGCACACCACATCTGGCACCACCATCATACTTTGATAACTCTTGATAATGCAATATGTGGTGCAGTCTTATTGTTGCATATGATATTTCCTCACAAATCCTTTATGATTTGTTGAGATAGGAGTTCTGCATGCTATGTCTTTTATACCTGCTTTTGATAATGAGATACTAGTTCAGTGGCTCAGAAGCAGTACTGAGGAGTCCTGGGATAACTACAGAATTAGTCCACAGTGTCCTTGAATAAATCAAAAGCTGTCCTGTGACTTGACAAGTTCCACTTTTCTTTTCTTTTCTTTTTTTTTTCTTTTTTTGAGACAGGGTCTTAGTAGGTATTTCAGGCTTGCTTTGAACTCACTGTGTACCCCAGACTGGCCTGGAACTCTTGGTGATCCTCTTGCCTCAGCCTCCTGAGTGCTGGGATTACAGGTGTGCACCACCATATACAACCATATTCCACTTTCAATAGAGATGCTATTTTTAAAATTTTTATTTTCATTAGTACAGTGTATGATTACATTTATCATGGGGAATTGGAACCTGTGTATGTCTACTCTCCCTCCTCCCTCCTTCCATTTCTTAGAAGAGATGGTATCTATTCCAGTCTATTATCAAATAGATTTACTTTGTCATCCCCTAACGGGGCCATAAGCCTCTCTGTAAAGACCTTTAGCCGAGATGATGTCAACATTCCATTTCACAATTTTGAAGAAATGTTAGAAAGTGTTTAGTTTTTTTATAATTTGCAATACTTGTTTGGCTGCTTAACCCTATAGTCATTTTATGATTTATTCTGACTCCAGGACTGAAATACAATCAGTTTGGATTCAGCAAGCATTTTATTACATTTTTGTCACCATGACCTCTGGTCATACCTGCAAATATAATGACTAGGTCTAGGGTGACACCCAAATTAAAGCATTTGTGCTTAAAATAATGAGTCACGTAATGAGGAAGTGTAAACTGTAGTGAGGATGGATAAAGCTTTTTTTTCTTCAAATTGAAGCAGCTAATAATCCCCATCTGGTTTATTTACATTTGACCAAATGAAGGGGCCTAGATTCCTATAGAACTCTGGGTTATTTTAATATGAGACTTGTGGACAAATAGAATGAGTACTTGTGGAAGAGCTATTTTCCTGGTTGTCAGAGTGATTCAGGCATGAGGGTGGTTCTCATCCTGAATCAGTGCAAATGCATGCATCAAGCCTAAAGGCCTTGAAAAACAAGGACTTACTGAATTTTTGCAGTGTCTGTGTTCATTTTTTATTATACTGGGTACTTAGAGCAGATGGTGACAAAAAAGAAAAAGCCCACACACTGCTGGGGAGAAAAGCCAGAGAGATTTCTGATTAGCATCATGACATAAGGAAGCTGAAATTAGATGACACCCACCACCATAGGGAAAGTTGATTGGGTGGAAGATGAAGGAAGGAGTCTATGTGCTGGCCATGTGGAAGACAAATTGGGACTTGGTGCCCATGAGAACAGGTTAGATTTGGATAAAATAACAGAGTATTTTGGGGTGGCTTCCAGAAACAGTCTCCCTCAACCCGCTGAAAAATTATTCCTCTAACTTCAGAGTTGAATTTATCTAGTTAGTGCGTATCAGAGTTGTTTCTTAAGCATTTTTAGCTTGATGCAAAATATTTAGAAAAATTGAAGACAACACATAGGATTGTGTAAACAGGTGAAACTTGATATATTTTCATCTGTCTCTTGTTTGAGAAAAAAAATTACTTAGAGAACTAGCAGCTGGAAACACATTAGCAACAAATATTATACACTTACTAGTCCCTTAACCAGTGAGAAAATGTATCATGTTGAGGGAGACCCAATTTTGTATTCAGTATGAAATTGATTGTTGTATTCACATATTTTTTCATGTTTGTTTTCGTTAGAATTCATATATGACTAGTTGAGCTTGAAATTTAGCCCCTGAATATTTAAAAAAGTAATTCTGAATAAGAATTACCTATTAATAAAAGAAAAAATTACCTGTGAGCCTCATTTTCATTATTTGAAAAGTGCAAATAGTATCTACTTTATGGGATTTTTATGTGCATAAGTGAAATAAATTATGTAAACCATTTAAAATAGTGTTTTAAATGGTAAAACAGGGCTAGGGAGATAGCTCAGCAGCATAAGCTACTATCTGACAAGCACAAGGTCATGAGTTCAATCCTTGGCACCAAAAAGAAAAATAGTATTAGCTGTAAGTTATATGTAAATGTTAGTATTTATTTGTTTATTTTTATGTATTTGGTGCAGGGTCTCACTATACAGCTTGGGCTTATAGTGGTCACCCTGTTTTTAGCCTCCCCAGCGCTGGGATTACAGGCGTGTGCCATGCCATGCCTGGACTCCGCTGGCTCAGCATGCTCCCAGGCAAGGGCCAGCCACAGGCACAGCACCTGGTGCCAGAGTGCAAGGGATAGAACCCTGGTTCCTGTGCTTTGCCTAAGCAGGTGCTTAGTCTACTGAGCTAGGCGCTAGTATTTATTTATGGCAGCACTGAGGTTTGACTCCAGTGCCTTAGCCCTCAGCTACATCCTCAGCCTTTTTCTTTTTTTCTTGTACTGGGTTTTGAATCCAGGACCTTTGCACTGAGCTACACCCCAGCCCCTCCCTCCTTTAAAAAATGTTTTTAAGGCTGGGCTTGGCACATGCCTGTAATCCACCATTTGGGAGGTTGAGGCAGAAGGATCACCACAATTTTGAGGCCAGCCTGGGCTACTAAGTGAATTCAAGGGCAGCTTGATCTACATAGGGAGACCTGCCTTGAAAAGCAAAAAAAACCTTTTTTTTTTTGAGATAGGGCTAAGTCTCTAAATTTCTCAGGTTGAGTTCGAATTTCCGGCCCTCCTGCCTTACCCTTCTAGAGTATTTGGATTACATGTGTGCACCACTACACCAAGCTGGATGTTGTTTTAAACCAAAAAGAGCAGTCTTTTTTTTTTTTTTTTTTTTTTTGGTGGAACCAGAGATTGAACTCAGGCCCTTGTACTTGCCAGGGAAGCATTTATTCCACTGAGCCATCTCCCTGGCCCCCATTTTTTGGAAAATACAACTTTATGTGCTAGCTATAAAAACTGTGTTGGGCCAGCCAGATAGCTCAGCAGATTGAAGTGCCTGCTTGGGTAGATGCAGGGACCTGGATTTGATGCCCAGGCCGTGCCAGCCCCACCCCCAGGCATGCTGAGATGGTAATTGAGACGGGCATGGTGGTGCCAGCCTGTAATCCCAGCACTTGGGAGGCTGAAAACAGGAGTATCACTATGAGTTTGATCTGTGTGGTGAGACCCTGTGGACCCTGTACTAAATACATTAAATAAATAAAAACTGTGTCTAAGCCAAGTTGGAAGCTGATACAAGAGGATCATTTGAGTCTAGGAGTTCAAAGCCAGCTTGGGTGAGTTCAGACCCAACTGGGGCAGCAAGACCATGTGTCAAAAACAAACAGAGGGCTGGTGAGATGGCTCAGTGGTCTAAAGCACCTACTTAGAATAAGCTTAGCAAGGCACATGGACCGCAGTTCAATACCCCAGCACCACATACCAGCCAGCCCCGCCCCCTGGTGGGCTGAGCTGGCCACACACACACACACACACTAAATAAATAAATAAATAAATAAATAAATAAATAAATAACAGAAACTGTTTAGAGCTGTATCAGTGGGGAGATGGAAACATTTGATGTTTTTCCTGTTTTCAACAGCCCTGAGGAATCAGGTACAGATACTGTTTTGTCAGTGCTGCGGAAGTAAATAGATCAGAAAGCCTGATGCTTCTACAGGTTAAGAAACACTTTGTGTTGGGATAACACATTTGCTGAATTGTCTTCTGCTGCCTTTCATTTTATTTATTTATTTATTTATTTATTTATTTATTGGTACTGGCTTTGGAACTTTTGTTTGTTTGGTTGGTTTTGCTTTTCTCAATGCCAGAGCTTAAACTCAGGGCCTTAAACATGCTAGACAAGGGCTTCATCACTGAGCTATAAGTACTACGGTTTGAACCTATAGGGTTGCACTAAGCTACATTCC